GGTGAGTAAACTTGAAACAAAAATTAGTTATTTAGATATGGATTTACTGAGAATTCATAAATGATCAAAAGTGGTACAATAATGTATCACGTGATAAATAATGAATAATACAAATAGATGTCAATGATAGCAGTGATTAAAAAACAGCAAATGTTGATAATATAATGGTACATATAATAATAGTGATAAATGAGAGTAATAATAGTTTCATAATAGTTATATGGATTTGTTGATATAATAATGATCATGATAAAGCAATAGAACGAAGTAATATAAATATGTCAATAATCATAGTAAGAAAAGGGATATGAACAGCAATAACTATCGATAATGGACATAATGATGATCATAAAAATCACAAAATAACAATTATGATGATAATGATATTGATGATAATGATATGATAATAATAATTTTGACTCAGATCAATTTAGCGAAAATTTGACAAAATCTTATAATTTAAACTGATGCTTTTCCTTATTATGAAGAATACTGGATGATTGTAGAAGTTTAGAACTAAAAAAAATCTGTCATATTTTTAAAAAAGCGCCTTGGCAAAGAAATCAAGTCTTGAACAGTTCAGATATATGTCGTTCTCCCTTTGCATCTACAGTATCACAAAGATACGTTTTCCATGCGTATGCCAAAAGTATAAAAAATGGCATTAACCAAGCATTCAAAAGGCATAAAAGGCACATTTTTTTTTGTTTTTTTTTTTAGAGTTGAAACTGGTCTTGTATCTCTTAATATGTTTAGAAGAATGAAGAGCATTAAGAGTAAATAGATAAAGGTGGACTAAGATTAGTTAGTGTATAGCCGTATGACCAACATTTAAAATTTAATCATAACATAATGGAGGTCCGCCCGGAGGAAAGATTATGAGAAATAGCCAAGCAAGTAATAAAATGTTTGGGAAATTAATTATTTGATTATTCAGGCGATGGGTATGGATGCTATTAATCCGAGATATAGAAATATAAAAAACGAAGAGCGAACGGAATGTATCTTAAATATGCATTTTGTCATCAGTTACTCTTCAAACTCGTATTATGAATTAAGAAGAAAACGTTGAGATAAATATATGAGAAAGGAGCCGAGGGGAATGGAGAGGGGGGGCGGGGGAAGACCGAATACATAGAAAATCAGAAGAAAGAGATTGAGAAAAAAAATAGCTGAAAACCTTTGTCCCGGTTGCGGAGTCGAACCCCGAAAATATCTTTTGAATTAGACGTCAGTCGGTGGTTACAACCACAAGACTACAATGGTGATAGAAGCGAAGTGGAAGCCCATTTAATTACTTATGTATACCTCACTCTTTTTCTCTCCTTTTGTGTACTAATTACTCTGGTCGAGAACCAATATCATCGTTCTGTTCTCTCTGTACTTATTTTTGTGCTCTCGTACCCACTGAATTCTTATCTCTGCTTGTCTACCTTGTCTGTTTGTCTGGTCCTTTCTTTCCTCTCTCGTCTCTCCTCTCTCTCTCTTCTCTTCACTCTCTCTCTCTTCTCTCTCTCTCCCCTCTTCTCTCCCTCTCTCTTCTTCTCTGCCTCTCTCTCTTTGTTTCTCTTAATTATTGCGTAAACTTTGTAGACGCGGACAGATGATCGTGGATGTCTGAGAGCTACCAGAATAATATTGAGTATTTCTAATCTATTGGAATCACCCACCTACCAAACTGTGAAAAGATCATAAAATATTAACAATCAACAGCGAGCCAAACCAAAACGGCGAAAGAGCATAACGAAAGAAACTTGAAAATCAGACTTGCGTTGCCGGGCCCGTTCGAGGACGCTCGCTGAGGAAAGGACAGCAGCATTTGCCGATTTGCCAGAAAAGAAACACTTTGATATATCAAAAGATGTTCCACAAGCTTGATTCCGTAGAGGATAGAGAGAGAGAATGAAGAGAAAAGTTATAAAACTATCGTATAATGAATCTAATAATAAATGAAGTGATAATGATCCTACCCCTCACCATGGGCTGCAGTGGGAATAGATCTATGCGAGTAAACGGAAAAAGGGAGGGAAAGGAAGAAATAGTGACCAGGAAAGTGAGTGAAATGATGGTGAGTGGCGAGAGAAGTGAAAAGGGACCGAAAAAAAAGACAGAGATAGAAATAAAGAGAGAAAGAGGAAGGCGAGAAGTAGTGACATCCGCAAGTTTGGGCCAAAGGAAAGAAATAAATAGATTAGAGGATAGATGAAAAGATAATGAGTGAGAGACTTTCGAAAAAAAGAAGAGACAGAAGAGGGTTTTTAGGAAGGAGAAGGGAATGAGAAGTAGTTGTAGATGGAGAGAGAAAAAGAGGCGGGAACACGATAGTAAGGAAATAAAAAGAAGGGGGGTTCCATTGAAATTCACGGATTTTTTTTTTTTTTTTTTTTTTTTTTCGCTCGGGGGGAATCGAACCAGATCTCCTGATCGAGTCCCCAGGTCGCCCACAACGGCCTCAGGGAACTTTAACGAAAACAAGATAACAAGCTCCCTCCCGTCACTCTCCCTAGTAGCCGGTGGATAGGACAGAGAGCGAATGATTCTACACTCGAGCGTCAGACTCTGGCCATATAATTGGCGCGCGCTCTCGCCTCGCGTGAGGTTAGATGAGAAAGACAGGAGTGAGGGAGGGAGGGAAGGACACAGAGAGAAATCTCTTCCTCTCTAGAGCGAGACAGAAGAGAAGAGAGAGACAGAGAGAGAGAAAGAGCGAGGAAAGAGAGAGAGAACAGAGAAAGTGTGTGTGTTGGGGAGAGAAAGAGAACAACAGAGAGTGAAAGAAAGAAAGAGATAGAAATAAAGAGAGAGAGTCACACACATACACCCACACACACACAAGCAGGGAGAGAGAAAAAAAGAGAGAAGGAGGAGGGGGGTAGAGCGGGGGAGGGAGGGTAGGAAGAAAGAGAGTCACAAATAGAGATAGAGAGTGTGTGTGAGAGAGAGAGAGGGAGGCGTAGAGCGGGGGAGGGAGGGTAGGAGAGAGAAAGAGAGAGAGGGAGAGAGAGTCACAGAGAAAAGTGAGGAGAGAGAGAGAGAGAGAGAAAGAAAGAAAGACAGAAATAAAAAGAGACAGGGGAGGGGAGGGCGAGGGAGAGGAGGTTGGGAGGAGGGAGGAAGGGAAAGCAAGAGGGAGAGTGTGTAAAAAAATGAGAGAGGGGAGAAATAGATAGTGAGAAAGCGAGAGAGAGGTTGGGGGGGGGGGGAGAAAATAGATAGAGATTATGGAGTGAGATAGTGAAAGAAAGAAAAAAAAGAGAATGACGAAATGAAAGAGAAATAAAGAGACAGAATATGATAAAGAGAAAGAGAGATAAGAGAGAAAAATAATAATAAAGAGAAAGAGGGAGAGAGAGATTGATAAAGAGAAAGAGAGAGAAAGGGAGGGGGAGATTAAGCGAACGAGATCGAGAGATAAACAGACAAAATTAGTAACAGAGGAGACAGAGAGAGAGAGGGTGTGTGAGCCTGTGTGTGGGGGGGGGGGGTGCACAAGTATATATTAGGCGATGGGATATAAAACACGTATGTATGATTTGTTTCGTTCATCTGGAAAGCACTTTATCTTGTGCTAAATCCTGATAATGGTTTGCGCTATCAAGATCCTACAAGCCATGACACTTCTATGCGGAGACGCATCCACACTCGAACAGCAGAGCAAGTAAACACACGTTTGCTTGTTTCAACTCAAGCAACTACAAGTTAAGTGGTTGAAGGAGGGAAATAAATTTACTTCCTATAAGGCTGTTGTATAATGTTTGGTATCTTAAATGTTTCCATTCTGATTCTGAGGGAGTGGGTATACTATGTTGCGCTCTACTTTTCTTTGGCATATATATAATTTCTGTTCTCTCGTTTGCCAATTCATGTCTAATCACTGTGTGCGCGTATGTGTTTATATATTATCTTGATGAGTTTATGAAATAATTTCTCGTTATATGAAATATATAAGATGCCGTTGACTTTGATGAGTATTTTTCATACACGAATTCCTGGAATTATTTGATAGCTTAAATGGCATTATAACTGCACATTTCTTTACAAATATAAACGTTTCTTTCTATAAACATCTACATATGACAGCTGAACGAAATTGAAATTTGCAAATTCACTGATTTGCAACTTTTCGTTATCCTACCTTAACTATCTAGAAGGAGCTAATAGAACAAATGAAGTGACTTAATTTTGTTTCCTCAGACACCGATTCAGAAGACTGTAAAAACTTGAATTTTCTTTATCACAGAACATTCACTTAATGCAAAATCACAGTAGGGATATAGTGAATATATATGTGCTTCATCATTGTGAGTGTGTGTGCGAGTCAAGGAAGTAAAGATGGCCATTTTCAATGCAGCTGTTTGTCATTACCGTTATTTGACTACTAGTTTGCGTACTGCAAGTTTAGGATTATTGGTCTTACATTTGGAACATTAGGAACCACGTTCAGCGCTAAATTATACAAAATGTATTTGATAACCGAAATACTTTTTCCTTGTATGAACTGACCAAATGGTAGAAAGTTTTTGAATATAATTAGTTGCATTTTCACTATTAAAGAAAATCAGTATTATGTAGAAAAGAGCAAATATTAGGAAAAATCATACCAACTAGAACAATTCGTTTTTTATTAAAATCTTGTCCAACCTCCATTATTTTCTATTACTAATCGTAGTCTTTCCGGGACAGAAGCGACATGCTTATAGATTAGTTCCGGTTTCCTCCGCATTACCTCCCATTCCCTCTTTGCATGCTGTATTAACTGTTGAGAGGTTCTTTCATTGGCCGTTTCCCAGACGTTAACAATATTTGCCCAGACATTTTCTATGGGGTTCAGGTCACATGCTTTGCTTGGCCAGGGTAAGACCTCCAGGTGGTTTTGGTCTTGGAACCATCTCGTAACTACCCTCGAAGTGTGTATGGGGCAGTTATCCTGCATTACAATGATTGTTTCTGGGAACGGCAAAGCATAGCTCCGTACCGACGGGAGAAACACTTCTTTCCAACAATTCTATATATTTCTCGGAATTGAATCTTCCGTCTATTTCTGCAAGCTCGCCAACTCCATGCAGGAAGATCCACCCCCACATGTTGCATGTCACGTGTCCACTTCTCGCAGTTTCATAGATATTTTGTCTATCATATCTGGAAATTATAGGGAGATTAGAACATGAACATAACGACATACGGCAATAATCTGTAGACTTATCTTTTCTATACATCATGATACAATAAAATGCAAGGTGAAAAAGGTTATATTTACATACCTTGTGTTATCTCTCCTCCAGCAATGAAGCTTCCCGTGCGCGGTGGAACAAAAAGTTTTTTCATCAGTCCAGATAACTCTTCCCCAGTAATCCAGATCTTTGTCGATATGCTGCTGGGCGAATTGGAGACGACCTCTCTTTCACAGCTGGTGTACGGTGATGAATCCCATCTGCGTGCAATCGCTTTCTCACCGTGCGACTTGTTACTGGGAGCTGTAGTTCTTCTTGGATTTTGACCGCATTGGTGAAGGGGTTCGCCTCCACCGTCTCCCGGATTTGAGCATCCTGGTCTGCGGTCGTTTTCCGTGGAGCACCGGAACGAGAGCGGTCATTCAGGGTACCCTCCTCCTCCCATCTCCTTATCCACCTGTAAACGACAGATCGTGAGATACCCAACTCTCTGGAAATTTCACTGGGAGAGAGACCACTTTCCCTCATCCCAATGATGCGGCCTCGAGTTGCAATTTTCGTTTGCCTTGCGTCCATCTTCAAAGGAGAGTCAGCTAAGCCAGAGTGTGCTGCATTTCACAGGCAACCCTGTTATTCCCTCGGATTTCCCAGACGTCACAGTTTTTTTTTTTTCTTCTTTAAGTTGTCTCTTTCTTTAAATTACCCTGTTAGTAGTTCTGGGTTAAGAAACAAGCTTTCAGCTTCCTGGATTTTTCGGACATTTCGAATGTCTGAAAATAGTTATTCCATTAACCTGTGAAGGGTATTATAAAAAGTTTGACTTTCTCAAATCTAAATATTATATATATATATATATATATATATATATATATATATATATATATATATATATATATATATATTTATATTTACACATCTGTATACCTATGCATATATTCTTGATAGAAATGAACTGAGAAACAAGAGAATAGAAAATACAAATATAACAGAAAAGTAGAGAACGAGATACATCAGCTAACAGGTCATGCAGTGAAGGAATGTGAAATATTGCGGAAAGACTGTGAGTAGTTATGGAAAATAAGGGGGATTGGAAGAGAATGAGAGGAGAGGGCTAGTCAGAGAGCGAGAGAATGAGAGTTAGATAGCGAATAAGAGAGTGGAGGAGACTGAGAGTGAGGGGAGGGAGTGATAGGCAGAGAGAGGGATGGAGGAAGGAAGGAAGAGAAAGAGAGGGGGGAGAGAGAGAAGGAAAGAAAAGGGGGAGGCAGAGACAGAGGAGAAGAGAGAAAGAGAGATAGAGAAAGAAAGAAGGGAGGGGGAGGCAGGGAGAGGAGGTAGTGTGAGAGGATAAAGGAGGAAGAAAGAGAAAGAGAGGGGGAGAGGGAGAAAGAAAGAGAAGGGGAAGACAGAGAGAGAAAAGGGGGGGGGGGGGAGGAGGAGAAAATTAGAGAGAGAGGAAAGAGAAAGAATGATGGAGGGAGTGGTTAGGTGTCA